GGAATTCTGAAACTTAGATTCAGGATGACTGTGGTACAACTATGTACCATTGAAATGTGGGTGAACCGATAGTGTTGGAATCCTGGAACTTGGATTTAGGATCACTGTGGGGGTGTTGGTTTGGGTTATATTGGCAGTTTTTGAAATTCGTACTACCGTGTACTAAATTTGGTACAATTTGAACTGTGGGTATATAGAAAGTTTTGGAATTGGCAAGCTTATATTTAGGAAATTCGTACTACTGTGTACTAAATTTGGTACAATTTAACTATTAAGTAAACCAATTGAGCTGGAAAAAAAAGAACTATAAGAGAACATAGGTACTAAATGTTTCCAAAAGTGTTAATAATGTTTGGTATTGGGTTTAAAATACTTCCCACATTCGCTAACGAAGTAGCGGGTATATAATAGTAGTATATATTTGAGCCGAAAATTAATGTAAGAAAATAATCTGATGGATCATCAACGCCCAGACGAAACGACTAAAGCTAGAAACTTGAAATTAGTTGGGGTTTGGTACGTAGGCGTGTGATAAGATTTTTGGAAATCCGTACTTAAAGGTACTAAAATGTACGAACAACTGCTTTACGCCGTAACGGTTAGAAGTAGTACTTTGAAACTTGGTACGTAGCTTTGTCAATGACGAGCGAAGAGCAATGTGTGAAAAAAAATTTGGACTTTAGTGGTACTAAAAAGTAGTACATTTTTGGAAATGAGTACTAAATATTATTAAAACTGTATTACAGCGGAAGGGTTGGAAGAAGAACTCTAAAATTTGGTTTTGTCAATGATAAGCGAATCAGAATGTGTGAACAAATTTTGGATAATAGTACTAAAGGTGCTAAAAAGTGCTAAATATTGTACTACGATGGAACAGATATCTGAAATTTGGTATGTAGCTATTATAAATAAAATGATGGGCAAACATATATATATATATATTTTTTTTTTTTGAAATTAGTACTAAAAAATTTGTAAATTTTATATTTCAATATAACCGATAGAGACACATACGTGAAACTTCGCATATAGCGTTAACTATTGCAAATGATATGCATATTTTTTTTTTTTAAATTGGTAGTAAAATGCACTGAATACTGTAGTATAATGGAACCGGACGAAATAGAAATCTGAAACGCCGCACGTAGATTTAACACAAATACTATACAGTAATATATTTTTGAAATTATTACTAAAATGGGACAAAATATTAAATTATAATGGAAAAGTTAGAGACTGCAATTTAGTATGTAGCTTAACTATTACAATAGAGCGATATGCATACAAATTTTTGGAAAATTGTACTAAATATTGTACCACAGTGTATGGTAAAAAATATAAATGTAACTTGAGAGTACAAAAAAAAAGATTCTAACTTTTAGTACAAATAAGAGGATTGGTTCATTGGGAATTCGTACTAAATGACACCAACAATTCAAAATATTGAACTATGTGGGAAAAAGCACAATTCAGAAATTTGGTATGGAAAACGCCAAATAGTTAGAAAATTGTACTCACAGTACCTATTATTAAATACTTATCTGGAACTATGACAATACACATTTATACATAAACATTTTCCAGAAATAAGTTCTAAAATGTACAACACATTGTATACGGCTGCATAAAGAATTTGGTACAAGGCTTCTTCTATGAAAAACAATGCTTTTCGCAATTTTCTTTGATATTTGTACTTACACAATATTGTATACGAAAGACCGATTTCTGAAAATTTGTATGCATACTTAGCTATAACAAATTAAAAAATGTATTTTTTTTTTTTTTTTGAAAATTTGTACTAAAAAGTACTAAATGGGAAAGGTTGACTATACTTCATCCAAAAGTATAATTAATGTTTTTATTTTAACTATAAAAAATTCGCTAACGCCGTAGCGGGCCTATGCTAGTTACTTTCAAGCAAATATGTCGTTATAACCATATCCCACTGTAGCAACCTCTCGTTAGGTGTAATTCGACATACAATTCAATTTTGTATGTGTATTTTTTCTATATTCTATATGTATTTTTTATTTTGAAACTATATTATTTATAAATATATTAAACGATTCAAAGTATTCAGTATATACATCAAGTACACTATCTGCCAATCATCAGTAGGAAATTTAATCAACTCATTGACACAATGAATAAACTAATCTTTATAATTGTTGGAATTATATTCACACAGGTATTATACTTATTTATTTTGATTTAATTTTTCGTAATTTATTAATGGAAAATTTACTTGTTCATCAGAAGGTCTTTGCCGATGACCACGATTGGTTTCCTAAAGATCCTGTCGCCGTACAAGATCAATGTGAAAAGGAAAATCCATTATCGGATGAGACTAAAGACGATATGTTACAAGGTGTCGTCCACAATTATCCCGATATGACAGCGTACATTACTTGTGTAGCCAAACGCATGAAATTCTATACAAGTGAAAAGGGTTTCGATGCTGAACGATTAGTATATGTTTTGAATAAAATGGATCGTTTATATAATCGTAATGCTGTTGAAGAATGTGTTAAAAAGTATGATGAAATTACGCCGGAAAGCGAAATGGTTTATCTCGTCTCGAAGTGTGTTAAGGAGGAAAATGTGCCGAATGAGGAATAGATTTAAGAATGGAAGTGGTATTGGATTTTGTTGTTGTAAAATTAAATAAGTACAATTAAATAAAAAATATTGGTCATAGGACTCTCAACACTATTGTGATTAAAATATTGGTCCAACTTTTTGGGGCAGACACCATATAACGAAAAGTCCAAATTTGGGTATTTTGGAAATTTGCCTGTAAATTAATATTTTTTTGTATTCTTATTGCGTAGAAAACCCAGTACCAAACATTATCAATATTTTCCCAATTTTCGGGTAGGCCCCAATGAAGACTTCCCAATTTTCGATAATTTTAAGATTTTAGAAACGTTTTGCACTGAATTATTTTGGTTCTCATTAGATGTCAAATCTTTCTTTCGTTAAAATTATCAATAAAGGTTAATGGAATAGTCCCACCATAATTTTCACTATATTGAGGATTTCAATAATTATTCTAACCGTGTTGGGTCTCATTTATTATTTTGAATTCTCTTTGGGATGCAAATCTTTCTAAAAAAGACTATCAATAACAGTCGATATGTGGGTACAGGACCCATATAAAGGTACATCCTCTTTTCGAACCAAAGTAAATATTTATTAACATTACGAAGTAATGTTACCTTGGCGGTAAATGTTGGCAGCAATTTACCATGGCAAATACCCCATACGAAAATCCCGATAGAGTTCAGATAGTTTGAATGTCCATCTCATGGTGGATGGTAAGTGTGGATTTTCTATACCCTACACAGCTATTTGGTGGTCAAATACGACTCCTAAAGTTTGTGGTCGGTTAATACTGAAGGGGTCAAAGGGGTCCAAAAACATTTTTTTAGGCTTTCTTCTGGTCGGTCAGTCTGTCTAATAATGTACGTTATTGAAAATGGGATATATATGTCAACGTTTTGTTATACCTCCATTTGGAAACGTATTTCATCCGAATTGGATGTAATTTGATACTTTGGGTTCTCACAAGGTAATACGTCTTCTCACCAATAATTATCTATATTGGTCCTTATTTTAGTATAGTCCCCATTAACGGGATCTCCCAAATTTCGGCATTTTCGGAGTTTGGACTCCTTTTCTATCCGATATGTAATTTGGTATTTTGAATTCTCTTTGGGTGTCAAATCTCACTAGCGAAAATTCTCAACATAGGTCCACATTTTAGAATAGCCTGCATATATAAGGTACCTCCAAAATGTCTGTATTTTAAGGTGTATGGGCACGGTTTACAACCGAATTGATTTTAATGTGGTACTTTGGCTTCTAATTGTGTAATACATAATCCCATTAAAAATTATAAATATTGATAAAGAAACCTCCAAAAGTTCGGTATATTGGGGCGTTTTATAATGCTATTTATCCGAATTGGCTGTATTTTGGTATTTTGATTACTCATTGGGTTTGAAATCTCAATACCAACAATTCTCAATATTGGTCCGCATTTTAGGATAGCCCCATTTTAGTGATATTTTGAGATTAACCGAATTGGCTCTCATTAGGTTGAAATCTTCGTACCAAAAATTGACCATGACATAGTCCGTCATATATAAAAATACCAAATGATTACAGGTATTTTAAATGTCTACATTGTGGCTTTTCAATACAAATATAGATATTCCAATTTATAAAATGTTTGGGAATCGTTGAATGGGCATCGAGGTCACTTATTATTCGTTATAAAGGGCTGTCGGATTCGTCAGGAATATTTACCATAAAAAATATCTCACTATACGATTAACAGAGAGACAGATGCGGGTCCCATTTTTTATACCCTTCACCACACTGTGATACAAGGTATTATGTCATTCTGCATATGTTTGTAACAGGCAAAAGGAAACGAGATGGACACATGGTTCCTTTTGAGAATATGCATAGAATCACTTTCTGAGTCGATTTACGCATGTCCGTCCGTCCGTCTGTCTGTCCATGTTAAATTGTAAACAAAGTACAGGTCGCATTTATGATCCGATTTGGATGAAATTTAGCACAAGTCAATTATTTGGCCCAAGGACGAACCCTATTGAAATTGGGAAAATCGGTTCAGATTTAGATATAGCTCCCATATATATTTTCGTCCGATTTAAGGTAAATGTGGCATCAAAGTCCCTATATATATTTCGATTTGCATGAAATTAGGCATAGAGTACTGAATTACGTCCAGAATGATATGTGCCAAGTTTCGAGAAAATCGGTTCAGATTTAGATATAGCTCCCATATATAGTTTCGTCCGATTTAAGGTAAATGGTGCACCAAAGTCCCTATATATCTTTCGATTTGCACGAAATTTGGCATGAAGTACTGAATTGGGTCTAGAATGACGTATGCGAAGTTTCGTGAAAATCGATTCAGATTTAGATATAGCTCCCATATATATTTTCGTCCGATTTTATGTAAATGGTGCACCATATATCTTTCGATTTGCATGCAATTTTTCATAGTGTACGGAATTGAGCCTAGAATGATGTGTGCTAAGTTTCGTGAAAAACGGTTCAGGTATAGATATAGCTCCCATATATATTTTCGACCGATTTTACGTAAATGATGCACCAAAACCCCATATATCTTTCGATTTGCACGAAATTTGGCATGAAGTACTGAATTGAGTCTAGAATGATGTGTGCTAAGTTACGAGAAAATCGGGTCAGGTTTAAGGTAAATGGGACACCAAAGTCCCTATATATCTTTCGATTTGCACGAAATTTGGCTGATCTTACATAATTAAGTCCAGAATGATGTGTGCTAAGTTTCGAGGAAATCGGGTCAGATTTAGATATAGCTTCAATATATTTTCGTCCGATTTTATGTAAATGGTGCACCAAAGTCCTTATATATCTTTCGATTTGCATGAAATTTTTCATAGTGTACGGAATTGAGCCTAGAATGATGTGTGCTAAGTTTCGTGAAAAACGGTTCAGGTATAGATATAGCTCCCATATATATTTTCGGCCGATTTTACGTAAATCGGGTCAGATTTAGATATAGCTCCGATATATTTTCGTCCGATTTAAGGTAAATGTGGCAACATAATCCATATATATTTCGATTTGCACGACTTTTGGTATAGCGCACTGAATTAGGTCGAGAATGATTTATGCTAAGTTTCGTGAAAATTCAGTGCAATCTACCGAAGTTACATTAGCCTTTCGTGTGTCAAGTGTTCTTGAAATCGGTTCAGATTTACATATAGCTCCCATATATATTTTCGTCCGTTTTAAGTGAATGGTGCACTAAAGACCCATAGCTAGGCCGATTGACACAACGTACTGAATCTCTGGCAAATTTCCCTGAAATCGGTTCAGATTTAGATATAGCATGTTTTATATATATATATATATATATATAATTTCGACCTATTTATGTTTGTTTGATATTACATTTTAAAGAGTGAAACATATTAAATAGCTTGTGTACAGTTTGCTTTAAATCTATTTACAAAATATAGAATAGGTTGCAGAATGGTCGGTTTACTTATCGATAAAGATCGCATATTTAAGTCCGTTGAATTTCATGTCAATGTTCCTTCGTAAAGGCGATGTCGGACACATATGTACAATAAACTCGAAGTGGTGAAGGGTATCACATAGTCGGCCCAGTCCGACTTTACTACTTTCCTTGCTGGTTTTTGCTATCTACCGATTAAACTTAAATGTCTACAAGGGCTTTAATCCCCAAATGGAATTTCCCAACCCTCAAGCCATGAGTTCCATTTTGATACATAATTTTACATATAGAAATATTGTATTTATTATAGGAACTACACATGTTTGGACAATCGGAACGAAAGATTGATGGCATACGACCAATAGTTTTTAGTGCCGATTCCTAACAACGAATCTCCACATTGGAAAAAATATTTGAGCCGAAAATTTATTTAACAAATTATTTACTTATAAGCTAAGATGTCGTTATAACCATAACCCACTGTAGTAACCTCTCGTTAGGTGTAATTCGACATTTATATATACATAGCTCTTAAATCCGCCGTAACCAATTAGTACATTACAATTTAATTTTGTATGCGTATATTTCATTATTCTATATGTATTTTTATATTTTGAAAATATATTGTTTATAAAAATATTACACGGCTCAATGTCTTCAGTATATAAATCAAATACCCTATCTGCCAATCATCAGTAGGAATTTTAATCAACTCATTGACACAATGAATAAACTAATCTTTATAATTGTTGGAATTTTATTCACCCAGGTATTATTATAGATCAGAATAATAGATCTAATTTTTTGTAATTTATTAATGGAAAATTTACTTTTTCATCAGAAGGTCTTTGCCGATGACCACGATTGGTTTCCTAAAGATCCTGATGCCGTAGAAGAACAATGTAAGAAAGAAAATCCAATATCGGATGAAACTGAAGCCGCTATGTTTCAAGGTGTCGTCCGCAATTATCCCGATATGACAGCGTACATTACTTGTATAGCTAAACGCATGAAATTCTATACAAGTGAAAATGGTTTCGATGCTGAACGATTAGTGCATTTTTTGAATAAAATGAATCATTTATATAATCGTAATGGTGTCGTAGAATGTGTTAAAAAGTATGATGAAATTAAACCGGAAAGCGAAATGGTTTATCTCGTCTCGAAGTGTGTTAAGGAGGAAAATGTGCCGAAGGAGGATTTGATTTAAGAATGAAAATGATATTGGATTTTGTTGTTGTAAAATGAAATAAGTTCAATTAAATAAAAAATATTGGTCATATGACTCTCAACATTATTGTGATAATAATATTGGTCCAATTTTTTAGGGCAGACACCATATAACGAAAAGTCAAAATTTGTGTATTTTGGAAATTTGTCTGTAATTTCAAATTTTTTTTGTATTCTTATTGCGCAGACAACCCACTACCAAACATTATCAATATTTGCCCAATTTTCGGGCAGGCCCCAATGAAGACTTCCCAATTTTCCATAATTTAAGGATTTTAGAAACGTTTTGCACTGAATTAGCCGTAATTATTTATTTTCGTTCTCATTGGATGCCAAATCTTCCTTT